TAATGTATCGTATCTCTTCTGGCTTATGAAAAAAAAAGATCTTCTGCAGAAAAAAGCTGCTGCATATATGTTATAAGTGACATTTTCACTGTGTTTTATGAATCTGATTTTGATTCTCTTGTGAAGCAAAACAGACACTGTTGGAATACGAATAAAACCATTAAATTGCGTTTTATAATTTTTCTATCATATTTGACAGCCCCTTCGATAATTGCATTGTCTTTTTCGCGTCATATTTTAGTCACAGTGATTTGGTTCAAGACACATAAACAGCACCAAAACCATTCCATGTCTCACATGATATACACCATATTCGCGAGTGTATATTGTAGAGCAACAAATCACCCTTAAATTGAAACATGAGAATAAATTGGATGGCATTGTGGATGCATAGCGAATTGGTAAGCGAGAGAATTAACAACAACAAAAAATCGAAATGGAGTGTGGTGAATATGTCGAAATAAAGTGATTGTGTCACGGTGTTGTGCTATGTATGTTAAGCGTTCGATTCACTTGAGACTACACACAACGCTGTTGTCAAAAAGCCAAAAAATTTATAACAGTCACACACACAAACCATACCATTTGATTTCTATGTAAATTGGCGTGTTCGATATGCATACACTCGATATATTTATACAAACCGAAAATCCGGCAGAGTATTTTTTTTTTCTTTCATTTTTCTTCATTTTCCGTTCGGAGGCTAAGGAAACATATTCTGGTTTCGTGTTCTGGAAAAATAAAAAATAGCTTTCAAAGTACATTGTTCACACAAACACAGCAACGAGCGTATATCAGTTTTGCATAGAAAAGCACTAAACATCGAAATCGATGTGCGGCAATGACTAAAACATTCATTTCAGCTATCCCATATTGTTGTTATCGCCCTATTTTTAAAAGTCCGCCCGAAAACGAATGTAATTTTGTGTTATTTTTTTTTGTCGTCACCGGAATTTTTCTATCGATTTAATTGAAGGGGAAAACCATTTTATCTATCTGTTCAATGTTCCCATTGATTCTACAATGCTTGACCAATTTTATCGAGTAATATATGTTTACATGGATTCTATATTATCCATAAAAAATGGGAAAAATTACTTCCGCTCGAAATTCAAAAAGTTGCTAAGCCAATTTCGTGATTATTATAAGCCAAACGGTAACGTTTTTAAGCGAAAACAATTTTCCATCCGAGCATATTTCTTTCCACACATTTTGCGTTCAGGCTTTCAACGTTATCCGACGTGACATAAATTTAATAACCAAACTACATGTAATGTCAGCCACATGAATCCCGAGCGGAGAGAGCGAAAAAAAATGTGTACATGGAAAATGTTGTTAGGGAGAGAAAAGTCCCGGAGAATGTTAACAGTGAAATTGGAGTTCACAGCCATGAGGAGCGAAGATGAAATGGCAACAACCTGAACAATCAAAAACCAAAGCAAGCATATTGCATTTGCTGCGAGACATGAAGCGATATGTGTGCTTGAAATGATCAATACACACTTTTTTGTTGTTGTTATTGTGATGACGATTTTTTTCTCATATCGGCGATTCATGTTTGAAAACGTGTCTGGCAAACGTTGCTTGGCATTGAATATCTTGAACTGGCTTCATACCAAGCAGTTAAAAAGTATATGGCAGATTAGATTTAATGTTATGTGAGACTTTATTACATAGTGCACATGAAAATTGAAAGTTTCGCATAACTTTCATGCAACAAGACCTTATATTCACTTCATCTTACACCATTTTCTGCAACATTGTCGTTTTAAAGTCAAACGTGCTGCGCTGATTTGTCAAGTGCCAGAAAGTGACTACAACATGTAATTCACAGCTAATTTTAGATTTTCATTTCTGAAGAGGAACCTCTGGAAAATTCCAAAGATTCGCAGCGTTTCTCTTTTTTTGTGTTCGTTTATTTCCGACATTTCGAAAATATTTTATCATTCATTGCATAAAATATGATGCTGCAAACGCAGAGTGAAATACTGGATGGAATATATAGTTCGTTTGAGCATGCAATGGTATCGGATATCCTTCCGCTCCAGTAATGGGTGTAAATCATTGTAAAAAGTGACGTAAGAAATTTTTAAAAGATGGATAAGATACACCTGATGTGATCTGAATAGTGCTATGCGGTACAGTATACCGGATATTGTAAAGTTTGCTTCGTTAGAGAGAATCCTCTACGGTAACAAGTTGCCAAGACTTTTTAATATCAAAAAATACAGGTAACACTGCAAAATGAGAATTCGAACACATATTTTACTGATATTTTTCACGCTTGAGTGGAGCAAGAATCGAAAACGTTCCATGAAAAAGTTTACAAGGAGAAAACTTTTCTTCGATCTGTCGTTCCATGCGAATTGTGGATAAACAACAATTGAGAAGATTTTGCATTGAGAGAAATGCACCATAAATACAGAACGCAAGTTTTTTTTTCGCCCAAAGAAACGGATGCATGACCGACTTCAGAAAATTCCATATTTAAACAAAATTTTCAAGAATCTATTTAATGAAATCTTATTTTGAAAATACTATAGTATTGAATAAATAAATGCACAGCATATCGGTGACAAAGGCCTTTCATTTTCTCTGTTCGGTACAACTTGTTAACGATGTTTGTTACTTAAATAGTTGCAAACAACCCGCTTCAAAATACAACTTTCTTATTATAGCTTGTCGTTTGCTTCCATGTCTTTGTTATTCGAAGAAGTTTGTTCGTGTTTTTGATGTTCAATTTTAATGCATGTTTCGTTGTGTTTACTACAATGTCTTCCGTTCTCCAATATCGAAATCATAAAAGATGACAGGTGAAGTTATTCAATTGAATAACACTGAAATATAAAGACTTTAAAGAAATTATGTCATCATCGTTGATATGCCAACACAAGAGTCAGTAAGATACGCTGGCTTCAGGGTCAGTTTTGTTGTTTCATCTTTCTTCGATTAAAAAGATTGGAAAACGCTTACTCAATTAGACGATGAATGTTTTTGCATGCAAATGTCAAATAAACTAAAAGCGTAAACATTCGATATGTCGAAGTTCGAATCTACATAAAATGCCATAAATGCAAATTGAGTTACGAATTGAACAAATACTTGTGTTAATAGATGATACAATCCGAACACAACGAATTGTTGTTGATTCGATTCAAATAATTTGAATTGTATGCCGTGATGTGAACTGGCAAACCAAATTCAATTTAAGTGCTTCCGATTTTGAAAACTAGTCCATTCAAACGATGGGAAACCTATATCAAAATTATCTTATGTCAAGCAGTCAGTTTGCTTTTTGGAATAGAATATTACTTCGGACGGCAATACACACGAGTGACGAAAGCATCATAATATACCTAAATGTCAACCACTACTGCATCTCATCGTATTCACTGCAATATCCGACCAGTTTTGGGTGTTTGATGCTAAGCTATAGTATACTTATCATGATATTTTCGTTCACGTTACCTGATCACTGTCGCCGTAACTGTGATTGTTGCATGTGACTATTGCATGCCAAATCGTCGGAAAATTACAATCATAAGTTCTAACTCTCAATAAAAAATAAAGCACTTTGTCGTGTATATTCTCATAGAGAACCAAATAAAACAAACCGGTTTGCTGTCAAAACATGTGTCTATCGTTAGTAAAGATTTCTGCTAATCAGTACATACTCAGCATCGAAAGTGTAAGCTTCTATTTGATTCGTGTTAGACAGCAAACAGTTTGTTTGAGAAAAAATAAATTCCATTTAAAAATGGCTGTGGAAAGTCTTGTGAGTTTCTCAAACCCAGTTTTTAGTTCGTTTGCTTTTTGGGGCTCTGTTCTGGTTATCAAATGCTTTTTTATGAGCATAATTACTGGAATTCATCGTTGGAAGAATGGCGTACGTAATAATCAGATCTTATATTGAGATATTTTCATGCAGCTGATTCAGCTCAGGAAGCTAACGCCAGAAGAAGTGGTTGTTATGGTTATAAAAATCCTTACATTGCTAAAATCAGTTCTATTGTTTTCACTCCATTTCCGTGCCTGACGAATGACTGCCTGAAAAAAACTCAATATAATGTCTGATAGTAAACATTAAAGTTTTCTTCGATTTATTCAATTTCAAGCGGGTTTTTAAATTCAAAGGTTTTCTCAAATCCAGAAGATGTATGATTGGCAGAAAGTATTGGATTTCGAGGTGAAACAAAGAACACTGATCCAGATGTTGATCGAGCACGCCGGTAAAATCAATTCATGCTTCTCTGTGTGGAAAAGAACTTAACGTTTTGTTTTATAAATTTTTAGAGCCCATTTGAATGACTTAGAAAATATCTTACCATATTTAATTGTCGGTTCATTCTATGTGTTGACAAATCCATCGTTGAGAACAGCCAAATTGTTATTCCAAGTTGCAACAATTACTCGAATTATCCATACATTTGTTTATGCTATTTTTGTCACTCCACAACCGTCGCGCTTGCTCAGCTGGCTCGTTCACTATCTCATCACTTTGTATATGGCGGTGATGGTAGTGATCTATAGCTAAAGCAAGTAATGAGGCACAATTTAGTTCTATTGTAAAAATGCGTTTTAGTGTAATAAACTAATCAATTATCTAGCTAACCGAAATGAATTACGTTATTGAGGTCCAATTACCTTATAAAACAAGTTTTGTATGCAAAATGTGATGCCATAAATACAAAATACTAAAAAAAGGCCAATTAAAAGTTAGAATCAGTCAAGGTTAATACGCAAAAGTCCAAGTAGTGAATTCAAAACTCGGAAAACTTGCCTACTGCACTATCCGATCAGTTTTGTTTGTGCAACCGATTATACATTCGTTTGATGCTTGAACGATCGACGTGATGCTTAATCTATTGTACACTCATCATGATATTTTCGTTCACGTTACCTAATCATTGTCGTCATAACTATACAATTGCATGCTAAATCGTCAGAGAATTACAATTATAAGTTCCAACTCACAATAAATAATAAAGCTTATTATTTAATTGTGTATATATTCTCATAGAGAACCGAATAAATCAAACCGGTTTTGCTGTCAAAACATCTGCCTATCGTTAGTCAAGTTTTCTGTTAATCATTAGTATGTATTCAACGTCCGACGTGTGAGCTTCTATTTTATTTGTGTTGCACAGCAAACAGTTTTTTTTAAAGAAAAAATAAACTCCATTTAAAAATGGCGATGGAAAGTTTTGTGAATCTATTGAGTTTCTCAAACCCAGTTTTCAGTTCATTTGCTTTTTGGGGCTCTATTCTGGTGATCAAATGCTTGTTTATGAGCACATTTACTGGACTTTATCGTTGGAAGAACGGTGTACGTACAAATTATTAAAGTTTTCTTCGATTTCAACAATTTTAAGAGAATTTTTAAATTCAAAGGTTACCTCAAACCCTGAAGATGTAAGAATGGCCGAAAGGATTGGAATTCGAGGTGAAACAAAAGAAACTGATCCAGATGTAGATCGTGCACGCCGGTAAAATCAATTCATGTCTCTCTGTGTGGAAAAGAACTTAACGTTTTGTTTTATACATTTTTAGAGCCCATTTGAATGACTTAGAAAATATCTTACCATATTTAATTGTCGGTTCATTCTATGTGTTGACAAATCCATCGTTGGGAACAGCCAAATTGTTATTCCAAGTTGCAACAATTGCTCGAATTATTCATACATTTGTTTATGCGATTTTTGTCATTCCACAACCATCGCGCTTGCTCAGCTGGCTCGTTCACTATCTCATCACTTTGTATATGGCTGTGATGGTAGTGATCTATAGCTATAACAAGTAATGACACACAATTTAGTTCTATTGTAAAAATTGCGGTGTCATAAGCTAAAATGTTTTGTTTTTGTGTGTAATAAACGAATCAATTATCTAACTGAAATGAATTACGTGTTTGAAGTCCAATCCCTTATAAAACACGTTTTTTATACAAAATGTGATTCCATAAATACAAAATACTAAAAAGAAGTCAATAAAAAATTAGAAACAGTCAAGGTCAAAACGCAAAAATGTAAGTAATGAATTCAAAACTCGGAAAAAATGCCCACTGAAAATGTTCGTTTCGCCAAGTTAATAACAGAAATGTCGTGTTTAGAATTTCGGTATCGTCACTCGATTTTTATTTGATTGGTCAACAGAATTGCAGCGTTTGTAAACTGTAAACAAACATCAATATTGAGTTTGCATGTGAATTTGGTGATGGTCACGTCTTCACAACAATGACCGTAATAACAGAGCATTCGCATCAAATCAACACCGAATTCCAACAGATACACTCTCACATACACACACACAACAGATAAGACATAGTCACACTTATAACTATACATTGTATTGTTTAGCATTACAAAAGCGATGGAGCGAGACAAAAGGTATTGAAAACCGGTCAGCGGTCGATGTTTTTTTTACCGAGCAAAATGAAAACGATGATACATAGTGGATACACAATGACACTAGCACAACGTATAGTGAAGTGTAGTGAAAGTTATTCACATTCACGTGGGTCTCTCGCAGCGAGAATTCATAGTGAACATTTTTCCGCTATTTTAATTAAGTCTCATGTCAATCAAAAACAGTTTCATATGACCAGTTTTGATGTTTCAACATTGCATATACCGTTTGACCATTGGCTCATGATCTCAATCAACGGAGGTATTTCAATTCTAAAGGTGCGAACAAACGCATAATTTTTCTATTTTTATAAATTGGACATGTTTATTTTTATGTTGAAATTAAATTAAAATAACAACCAATTCGATGTCGACCAAAAAGGAAGCCCGACAAAGTTGTGCGCTTCAAAGAGGCAGTAGTTTTTAGGTTTGTCTCTTCAATGTATATATAGATAGATAGTTTTTGTATAACTGAATTCATTTGACGTAAATTACGTTTTTCGCCCACATGCGTCCGAAATTACGGGCGTCAACAACCACAAACAGATGTCAACGGCGCACTTATATTTTCGACATAAATAAAAGTTACAAAGCTTAACACCGCTTGTGCGTGTGTGAACCATAGAGTTTTCCGACTCCCAATCAATTTTAAAATAACCAAAAAAACACATTTTCGCAGTGACGCGTTTGAAGAAATATGGTGCATCAACCGCTGAAAAATGTTTTACATGGTTTCGGAAGCCGCTTCAAATAAAAAAAATCGATTTTTCCGATTATATACAACTTGGTCAGTGCTATTAAGCGAACATTGTACCAACCATTACATTAGCAGTCGTCGTCACAATGAAAGTACTTCGATCCGATTCGTTATTAATATGGGGCTTTTTTTACCTACTATTATTATTACCATTGCAGTCGGTGCATTCGATCAAGGTGGTTATTTTGTTTTTCAACCTTTTTTGCATATTGTTGTACGTTTGCTCGTTAGCGCTAAGAGTTGCAAACAATGTACACAAAAAAAACTTGGACGTTTGGTACTTTTCGTTAAATCAACCCGATTGTAAATTTAACATCCATGCTGTCCATGATGTGCATGCATAAATTTAATCCAATACGTAAATATATTATCGAAAAACACCGTAGATGCACGTGAATGTGTAAGGAACGAAAAACACATAAATAAATTTAAATCGGATTTGAAGCATTTTTGCCGTTGTAAGCATAAATCGGCGCAAGTGAATGCATACAGTGATGTGCTAATGGGGAATGAATGGCAAAAAAAATGTACAAACGACAACATCGATGGCAAACAGACAATTCACTTGCTTGCCGATGTAGTCGCTTTTGTTTATCCCGTGCATTTCGCTAAATGAAAATTGAATATATTGATGGTACCGTCACTTTTGTTTATATAATATTTTATTTTATTTTGGTTAACTGCTCGATGGAAATCCAATTTCTTCCTTCGTTTGTTGTTTTAACGATGCCTATCTGCATGAACAAATTAACCCAAGACGTGCACAAAAAGAGCTCCACCACGTGAACGTGTGTATGTTTCAGAGGTATAAAACGTTTATTGAAAGCTGTTGCGTCAAATTAAATGCAGGGCATATTTGATGAAATTTTTTTTTTTTATCATGGCTGCCGACACGTTTTCATGCGACAATAATGCTCACATAATGAAAAATTTCTGAAAATAAGAAAAAGCCACATCGAGCGATTTATTCAATCGAGGAACAAAACCAACGTTTATTTTTAGCTCAGCATTTTCGCCATTGGAACGCTCGAGTGTCATTATCCTGGAATGTGAATACATCACTTCATTCGTTTGATGTGATAATAATCCATATACAGAAGCAGAGAAGGTATGGTGCTCATAGGGTTCAATGTATAAAATACACGTATATGAGCACAGTTGTAAATTGTCATTCATTCAAAATGAAAAGTTAATGGTGTCTATAACAGTAATTTAAAATTGTGCTTAGATTCACCTGATTATTGTCTGTTTGACTTCATTTAATCACATACTCTAAATAGAAAATTTAAATACACTCTCTCACACACACATTCTACATGTTCATAAAAACGAAACAAAGTTTTGCTATTCTATGCCAGACCCGAATTCAATCCAAAATGCTTTTCCGATAGAAATTTGCCAAAATATTCCAAAATGCTTTAAAACATTTTAAATTCAAACTTTTCCAGTGGAATTTCCATCGAAGCGCAACATTTTTTAGTTGAAAAACTTTTAAATTAAATACTATTTCGAAAAGTTATGTTCATATGGAATTTTTCGAAATAGAGAAAATAGTGCAAAACAAACATGTTCGATGAATTTTATTCGAATTTATAAAATGAATAAACGGAGAAAATCGATTTGCTACGTAGGTGAATGTGATATCATCAAATGTTTGATTTGCATACTTGTACTGAATTCAACTAACAGCCAATGTGAATGCAAAATTCAGGAAGTAATCAAAATCAATCTTGATTTAAAGGTTCTCTTATCAATTCACCATTTAAGAGCAATCAATGTTCAGTCAGCAGCATCAGGTTTTTGAGTGCATTCGATGTGATGCCAAGCATGACGCACTCACCGATATCGATGATAAATGGTAATGCTTGATTTGAAAGCGCTACTCAACCTTAATACATAAATGCATGTACTTGAATTGTTTTTGTTCTGCTAAAACCATCGGATCTCATCCAGAAACACCAAAGACACAAGCATAACAGCAAACTCATTCAATTCCTGTGTGTAATTACACGCATCGTACCTAATTTAATTATTATCGAAATGATATGTGTGCAGCACTTTTTTTCCAACTGCTGATACAATATTTTATATGCAAATGCCAACGATTTTCAAGATGAATCTCTGGCAATATTTACTTATGTACAGCATAAAATTCATTTTTATGTTAATGGCACGCACGCACACATATGCATTTGAATGGCGTAACAGTGTTTATGTAAATTTCTTCACGAATTCACCCATTAACCTTGACATCTTCATCATGTTTCTGATGCTTCACAAGCTCATTAGGACACAAGTTATTTGCCGCATGATGTGTGTCATAACTGCTGCATAAACGAGTTTATGTAGTGCATTTTTGCTATGAGGCCATTTACGTGGAGAATTCATCGTTTGCTTGTCTTTGATTGATACCGTTTTGCAAGCCAACGTCGTTGCTTGTAATTCACAAACACTCTTCCACTTGTCATATTCATAAGCGTATGATCTTGTTAGATAGCATCCATTGAAATTGCTATGATGCTGCCATTAATAAAATTGATTTTCAGTGTTCGTTTTCGACAGCAAAATACCGTCACAGAACATAATGGAATTTGGCCAGAATCTGATGAAACTCGCTCATAGGCATTATATGAAGTGCGTATCACGATGATTTCTTTCAATTCAGAATAATTGAATTGTCCATATTTCAATTGCGACGAGTCCATTTTATCATTCAAACGAGAAAAAAAAAACTAATTGAAAGTCAGACAATTTTTCCGCTCTTTTCATCCATTATACAACCGAAGAGTAATCGAAGAAAATAAAAGAGAATAAATAGAGAAAACCAAAGGAAATGAGTTGGAATTTTATCTTGCGGTTCATTTATGATCAGTAAACATGAAAGTATTTTATTCCAACAAATTTGAATGATAGCTCACTTGCCTCCTCCCTCTCTCGAGCTCTCGCATTTTGTGCTGCGTATAATGTAAATACACCCACTTTTCATTATGCAGGATAGCCAATTTTCAAGTTTTACGCTTGTTATCAATTCCGTTCCGCAGTAAATTTCGTTCTCGTTCGATTGATGAAATATCACTGTGCCCGGAATGAGAAGATTGTTTGCATCTGATTCAGACATTTTCTCGATAAAACCATCGAAATATTCAATCATTTTCATGAATGCAACTTAGAATTGAAATCCATTTCGCTCTCATCTTTTGTTATTGTTCGGATAAAACGCGTTCATTCTGCAAAAAAAAAAAAAAAATCTTCCGAATTTTTTCAACCAAAAAAAAAATTATATAAATTTTTATTGTTTAATTGGAGCAAAATAAACAGACTTTCAAGCGGAAACTGATGAGCAAGGCAAATGAATAATTAGTCGAAATGTCGATAAAAGTTTATTTTCGGCATTTTATTTAACAATTTTGACGGGAATAAAAGTATTCTTGCTCCAGTTGCAATAACTTTTGATATTGTTTCAGCATGAATTTTGTGCAGCTCATAGTAGGTTCGGATAAACATACATTACCACTTAATTGAATTGACTCATCATGTGGTATATTCATAGATTGTTTTATTCATGTTTGATGTAGTATGATGTTTTTTTTGCTTGTTATTTTAAAATCTTGTTGTGAACAAGCTTTTCAATTAGTTCGAATTCGGTCCAGAAAACTGATGCACACACACATATTAAATCACATGACGTGAAATTTGTTGTGGCAAACAAACACAATGTGTATACGCCGAACAATAAATT